AAATATATATAAATATATACAGGTTACATGAAATATAACTATTCTCTAAGTAGTCATAAGTTAGAAAGTTACAGTTTTGTGTGTCTAACAAGCCATTGTAGAAATATAAATCAATCATGAGAAGGTTGTTGAGTAAATTTAATTATTTTCCTGAGAAAATTTGAAGCGTTGTGTCTTGGTTATATAATCGTGGACGGATTCAACTATTTTCTGGTTTACACAGGGAGTAAGTTCTTTGTTTCCCTTAAGAATGGTATCCAGGTTATAACCGGTAGTGTAAAAATACATCCGAGTATAGTTACGGCAAGTGAGGAAATAGTGTAGGGCACTTTTGATTTGCGATTGTACGCTTATAGTTTTGTTGATATGTTTTTTCATAATCAGCAATGTACATGTATATTATATGTCATGAAGAAGTGATAATTGTGTTTTAATTATGTTTGATTATTTGGTTGCATGTGACGTTTAACAACACAGCTTTATGCAAATCACGAAACAAATACTCAAATGCATTCATATTGAGGTGAAATACATCTTTTTCAGAAGAGTTAAATTGTCCTATATTCGTCCATGCCGAAATATAACAATAACAGTGATTTTGATGTCCAAAAGAAAGGTTATAATAAAATTCTGTTTTGGGACAATGATAAACCTTTTAAAGTCACCATTTTTCAACTATTAAAATAAGAAACAACTGTTGCAGAGTGTGTAAAATTGTGAAATAGTCATTCCTATGATTTCAGTCTTTTAAAACTACATCTTCTGCTGATTTAATTAGTGAAAACAAGTAAAAGGTGTCTTTGATATTGTGAAAAAATGTTCAGGAACATCTAAAATTATCTGTGTTGACATTTTTGCTTGCAAACTAACATTTTTCCATTTTCTGTTTACACATAGCAATATCAATCGCCAAAACGCAGTATTATTCAAGCAGTATTTGCATCCATTTCACATGTAGAATGCTTCTATAGGGATGAAAAGACCCTAGAATATATGATATGATACACAAGTACGAGAAATATGCCACGATTAACAGCTGAAGAGAGTGAAAGAGCCATTGGGATGGTGCAGATGGGGTCGATATACAATGCTGTTGCCAGCGCCTTCGGATGCCACCGTATCACGGTTATAAGACTTATTCAGCGCTTCAGACTGACTGGGGTCACCGTAGACAGACCAAGAAGTGGACCTACAAGCATCACAACGCCAACTGAAGATAAGTACCTCCGTCATTAGGAAGGAGGGTAACGTTTCTTTTGGCGTTTAGTGTATGATAGAACACGTATTGGACTACCTGGATCGACAAATCAGAAGGCTAACAGCGCCACCTTTCACCGCTCCTGTCACCTGTCTCCTACAGGAACGGCGACGTATCACGCCTAACGTCATTCGTCGTCTTACGTCATCAATGCGTCGACGTGTTTTGGCGTGTATTAACGCCAATGGTGGTCACACTCACTATTGATTCAACATTTAATGACATTTTGCAGAAAAAAAACTGCCTTGTTGATTTGTGTAATAGTTCAGACTATGATACCACGTGTCTTTCAATGTCAGTCAAACGCTACTTTCGACTTTGTATGAAATGAAATTCTGTACATTTGCTGTAGAATTGAATACTCTATTGAAATTAAATAGATGTTCTATTATATATGCTTTTCTTTTCTTTTCAAATTTGGTCAAACACATTGTATACTTTCTTTTGAACACTAGTTTATGCCTAAACTCAAAGAGACAATTTAAGAGACGCGTGTTTTATGCAGAGAAACGCAATGCTTAAGGGTGAAATAGACATTTAAATGATAAACTTATCAATCTGTCTGTGAGGTGCCTTAAATATTCATGTAATCCCCAAGTGATGTTAAAAACTCAAATCTTTTATCTGAATAGTGGGGGAAGTATTAGGCAAATGTGAACTGGACTCAAAATGAGCTGATACGCAGCCACTCCACTCGGGAGCCAGCAACTTAAACCACAGTTAAAGTCATCTATTGAGATAAGGTAAATGGTATGTAAGAATATTGTTCGTCGATTTTATGACAGTATCTATTATCTAGCGATTCTATGACAATATCTACTGTCTAGCGATTTTATGACAATATCTACTGTCTAGCGATTCTATGACAGTTTCTACTGTCTAGCGATTCTATGACAGTTTCTACATCCAGATGTTCTGTGAGTGTGATTCTATGACAATATCTACTATCTGATTCTATGACAGTTTCTACATTCTACGACAATGTGATTCTACGACAATATCTAGCGATTCGATTCTATGACAGTTTCTACATCCAGATGTTCTGTGAGTGGGATTCTATGACAATATCTACTATCTAGCGATTCTATGACAGTTTCTACATCCAGATGTTCTGTGGGTGTGATTCTATGACAATATCTATTATCTAGCGATTCTATGACAGTTTCTACATCCAGATGTTCTGTGAGTGTGATTCTATGACAACATCTACTATCTAGCGATTCCATGACAGTTTCTACATCCAGATGTTCTGTGAGTGTGATTCTATGACAATATCTACTATCTAGCGATTCTATGACAGTTTCTACATCCAGATGTTCCGTGAGTGTGATTCTATGACAATATCTACTATCTAGCGATTTTATGACAGTTTCTACATCCAGATGTTCTGTGAGTGTGATTCTATGACAATATCTACTATCTAGCGATTCTATGACAGTTTCTACAACCAGATGTTCTGTGAGTGTGATTATATGACAATATCTACTATCTAGTAATTCTATGACAGTTTCTACATCCAGATGTTCTGTGAGTGTGATTCTATGACAATATCTACTATCTAGCGATTCTATGACAATATCTACTATCTAGCGATTCTGTGACAATATCTACTGTCTAGCGATTCCATGACCGTTTCTACATCCAGATGTTCTGTGAGTGTGATTCTATGACAATATCCACTATCTAGTAATTCTAAGACAGTTTCTACATCCAGATGTTCTGTGGGTGTGATTCTATGACAATATCTACTATCTAGCGATTCTATGACAGTTTCTACATCCAGATGTTCTGTGAGTGTGATTCTATGACAATATCTACTGTCTAGCGATTCCATGACAGTTTCTACATCCAGATGTTCTGTGAGTGTGATTCTATAACAATATCTACTATCTAGCGATTTTATGACAGTTTCTACATCCAGATGTTCTGTGAGTGTGATTCTATGACAATATCTACTATCTAGCGATTCTATGACAGTTTCTACATCCAGATGTTCTGTGAGTGTGATTCTATGACAATATCTACTATCTAGCGATTCTATGACAGTTTCTACATCCAGATGTTCTGTGAGTGTGATTCTATGACAATATCTACTATCTAGCGATTCTATGACAGTTTCTACATCCAGATGTTCTGTGAGTGTGATTCTATGACAATATCTACTGTCTAGCGATTCTATGGAAGTTTCTACATCCAGATGTTCTGTGAGTGTGATTCTATAACAATATCTACTGTCTAGCGATTCCATGACAGTTTCTACATCTAGATGTTCTGTGAGTGTGATTCTATGACAATATCTACTATCTAGTAATTCTATGACAGTTTCTACATCCAGATGTTCTGTGTGTGTGATTCTATGACAATATCTACTATCTAGCGATTCTATGACAGTTTCTACATCCAGATGTTCTGTGAGTGTGATTCTATGACAATATCTACTATCTAGTAATTCTATGACAGTTTCTACATCCAGATGTTCTGTGAGTGTGATTCTATGACAATATCAACTATCTAGTAATTATATGACAGTTTCTACATCCAGATGTTCTGTGAGTGTGATTATATGACAATATCTACTATCTAGTAATTCTATGACAGTTTCTACATCCAGATGTTCTGTGTGTGTGATTCTATGACAATATCTACTATCTAGCGATTCTATGACAGTTTCTACTTCCAGATGTTCTGTGAGTGTGATTCTATGACAATATCTACTATCTAGTAATTCTATGACAGTTTCTACATCCAGATGTTCTGTGAGTGTGATTCTATGACAATATCTACTATCTAGTAATTCTATGACAGTTTCTACATCCAGATGTTCTGTGAGTGGGATTCTATGACAATATCTACTATCTAGCGATTCTATGACAGTTTCTACATCCAGATGCTCTGTGAGTGTGATTCTATGACAATATCTACTATCTAGTAATTCTATGACAGTTTCTACATCCAGATGTTCTGTGAGTATGCTTCTATGACAATATCTACTATCTAGCGATTCTATGACAATATCTACTATCTAGCGATTCTATGACAGTTTCTACATCCAGATGTTCTGTGAGTGTGATTCTATGACAATATCTACTATCTAGCGATTCTATGACAGTTTCTACATCCAGATGTTCTGTGAGTGTGATTCTATGACAATATCTACTATCTAGCGATTTCATGACAGTTTCTACATCCAGATGTTCTGTGAGTGTGATTCTATGACAATATCTACTATCTAGCGATTCTATGACAGTTTCTACATCCAGATGTTCTGTGAGTGTGATTCTATGACAATATCTACTATCTAGCGATTTCATGACAGTTTCTACATCCAGATGTTCTGTGAGTGTGATTCTATGACAATATCTACTATCTAGCGATTTCATGACAGTTTCTACATCCAGATGTTCTGTGAGTGTGATTCTATGACAATATCTACTATCTAGTAATTCTATGACAGTTTGTTCTGTGAGTGTCCTGTATTTAGTGATTCATTAACAATGTGTCCCATCTAGTGATTCTGTAACTTTGTCAGGTATGCAGTAAATCCATGACAGTGTCTACCACCTTGTGATTCAATATCAACCAACTAATCTATTTCAGATAAGAAAGACAGAACGCATTAGATTAGAAAAATCATTTAGTTTCAATACTAAAGATCAGAAATATCAAAAAGATATCACTTCCCGACAGTTTCCTGTGGGAAAAGGGAGAAATCGGACTTACGTATCACAGTGTGGTTAATACCTCTAGCATCGCCGTGATTAGCTAATGAACAAGTTGACTAGATTCGGATTTTATTACAAATCTTTTCTTCAACAGCTGTGCATCAAATGTGCGTCTTTTTATGTGACCACAATCTCCCTGTCTAAGGTATCGGCAGCGTCTACGGTCGTGGTGTCGGCATGCTCTCCGTCGCTTAGCACCTTATCCTCCAGCTGTTTCTCTGCTTTATCTGGGTGGCGAGACCGTATGTGTCGTTCCAGGTCCCGCCGTCTCACCAGTACCTTGCCGCAGAACTCGCATCTGTATGGTGTCTCTCCTTCTGCGTGAAGTCGGACGTGTTTGTTGAGATTGCTTGGATCCCCAAACGGTCTTAGACACACCTTACACTTCAATGGCTTGTACCCAGTGTGTGTGCGCAGATGAATCTTCAGTCCGTATTTCCTGGAGTAGAGCTTCCCACAGTAAATACACAAGTGGCCTTTTCTTGATTTACTAGTGAAGAGAGATCTTGGGATCAGGTCGAGGGGTTCTCCTTCTGTTTCTGACGGCATTGGGAAAGGGAATGGCACGGAAGACGCGCTGGTTTTCCCTGTAGAAGGTTCTGCCATGTGGCTTTGGTAACACTGTGGGCTTATAGCCTGTCCTGCGTGTTTGGCGTTAGACGTAGCCCTGAGCAGATGGCGACCGTACTGTGACACGCACGCCTCCCTTTGCTCTGTTAGGGATGTGTGGGTTGGTAGAGAGCCACAACATAGTCTAGTTTGTTCGTGCATGGGGTTCAGATAGGGGTAGTAGAGCCGAAGGGCACTGTGGTCAATAGCAATGGGGAAAGCTGGAGGGTGTATATGGTTGAATATCTGTATTGGCTGAGACACGCCAGTCATTGAAGTCTGAGTTTGCTGTGGGAGGGAATGTTTTGGCGCTTCCCTCACCGACAGATTGAGGACACCCTGGTCAGTGTGGGTGGATTCCAGTCTGTCTGGCTCGGCGTGGCCGTCCCCTACCTTATAGTGGGGTCTGAAGGCAGAAAGCTCCGTCGTTGGCAACTGCAGCTGTGTCGTGGCCCTTGTCAATAACCAGTTTTCTAGGGAATCTTTTGAAGAACCAGATTTACTTCTGCTTGTGAGGAAGGCTCCCATTGAAGGGAGTGAGGCACATTGTGGGACATCCCCAGTCAAGGGCAGGTTAAGCATGGACCTAACGGTGAACACGGGAGGTGTATGTAATCTGTCTGTAACATCAGGCTTCTTGTCACTACATCGGAAGCGAATGTGGGCTTTAAGACTATTGGGATACTTGAATATCTTCTGACACTCAGTGCACATGTATTGCTGGTTACCTGGCAACAGATATATATAGACATGAAGTTTTGAAAGAATATACACGGGACAATTGACTGTCAGTCGGGTACAGAAGGACCATAAAATAGAGCTGCGACAAGTCTTATCCGAAACTCACCTCTGATATTGTCAGGAGACAGGATTGGGATACCGCTCTGCCGAGCCAGATCATCGCTGTACCAAACCAAGAGTTGCTCCCCTTTATTGATGTGTCGGAGAAAGCGCAAGAACAGATGACCTTTAACATCTCGGTACGTTTCAACGTTCTGCTCGTGCCTGTCACGTGCTGGCTGCACATGTAGCAACCAAGTGTCGGTGACATGGTCCGGCAACATCACTCGGCCATCTTTATATACAACCTGAAACAGGGACATCCACCGTACTAATATATCTCCCACAATACCATGGCAGTGAAGTAGTAGTTTTACTTGCCGAATTATGTCAACATATATATACTAGGCACATAAAGAAACTGTGCATACAAAAATTTAAAATCTAAATTTATCAAACCTGTGTAGACACATAAGGATTTAAACTCAGAAATTAGTGACAAGTATCCAACATGCATGAACGTGCCACGTTCCGTGACGTCAGTGGGTTCATCCTTGAGACGTGCAATACGTTGTTGCACGTGCATTCCGGGAAAGAGAAACAGAGCAAATGAATACCACACAATACTGTCACTTTGGAAAGCTCAACCCCTGCCCTTGCGATCGTTCAAAAAAATTATACGGCCATTGAAACGCATAGCATGCCAAGGCTCACGTCTGCACAACGTCAAGAGGCCATTGGGATGGTCTGTGGGGGAATGTCTCAACGACAAGTGGCTGCACAGTTCCACTGCCACCGAAACACCATTTCTGCACTGGTGAGACGCTACCAGAACACAATTGACGTCATCGATCGGCCACGTTCTGGACGTCCACGTGTAACAACGCCAAGACAGGACATATGTATAAGGGTGACCCATCTTCGCCACAGGTTTCAGACTGCAGTGATGACTGCCCGAACCATCCCAGGACTTCGCCGTATCCACCCCAACACAGTTCGACAACGTTTACCGTCATCACGGGATCAGGCCACGACGTCCCGCCATACGGCCTATCCTGACACAACGTCATCGACAAGCTCGCCAAATGTGGTGCCGACATCATGTCCGCAGACCCTTGTGTTGGTGGAGAAATGTTGTTTTTTACAGATGAGTCCAGGTTTAACATTTCCCATAGTGATGGACGTCAACGTGCCTATAGACGCGTGGGAGAACGCTATGCACAGGCCTGTGTCTTGGAGAGGAATCGCTTTGGTGGTGGTTCCGTGATGATTTGGGGTAAAATAACAGCAGCCAAAGAACTCCTTTGGTGATTGTTCAGGACAACTTAACTGGCGTGGGCTACAGGGATCAGATTCTTTGACCTGTGGCAATTCCTTTTCTGCAACGTCATGGCCCTGGGTTAACATTCCAACAGGACAATGCCCGCCCTCATACGGCAAGGGTTGCTATGGATTTCTTGCAACACCACAACGTTGACTTACTGCCTTGGCCTGCAAATTCACCGGATCTCTCCCCGATAGAGCATGTTTGGGACGAGATGGATCGACGTCTACGCCGTCTTCCTCATCCGCCAGATAACGTCCTTGACCTTGCAACAGAACTTGAGAGAATCTGGCGTGACATCCCACAAGCCTTCCTTGCACGTTTGATAGGCTCTATGCGTCGTCGATGCACTGCTGTTCTCAATGCCGATGGTGGACATATCCGTTATTGAGCTTGTGACATGGTCGTTTGACCCCTGTCCCGCTTGTGGACTCGTGACGACATTGTGATTGACATTTCAATTGAAATTCTCCCGACTTGTTATGGTCTCATGATCCCTTCATTAAAGTTTATATGTACATTTGACATTGTTATCGTACTTATCAACTGGGATAATATTATGACAACGCACAGTTTCTTTATGTAGCTAGTATATTTTAAGCAGTAACAATTGGTTACAGAAACTCGTTATGGTGGTTCTGGAAACTCAAAAGCTAATTACTGGATACAACCTGCCTAAATTGAAGAGTAAATACTCGAAATAATATATATCTAGAGAGACAAGTGAGCATTTCCAAGCGGCACTTGTGTAGCAGTGCCAGCCAGTATATGACGGGCCTCTCTATGGTTGTTAATGTCCAGCTTAACACCAAACACTGCAAGTAGTTTCAATTGGACCTGTGGTATACTACAGCATGTCTGAGTCTGTCGTTAATGGCGTCTGTGCCACGTAAGTGTACCCACACAAGTGTCGGGCGGTGTTCCCGCTTACGTCAGCGACACCCTGGCAGAGGCACACAGTTCGTAGAGCAAAACTCGAAATGAGGTTTTCACTCTTATGTTCAATATATAATAGCAAGTAGATTAATTTAATGAAGACGGCATTGTTCCCAGTCGTTCGACATCGAACAGAACACAAACCCTAAAGAGTGCATTATAAAACTGGGGCACCTCACGCTAATGTAAGTTTGGGGTTATTTTGAATGATTTATCCAAACTGATTCTGCAAAGTTAAATCAAAGATGACTACTATTTGCCACCTTTCTACTTAACGAGATTAGCGTGATCTCTCTGACAAATACTATGCGCCTGTTCAAAACATCCGAAGAACGTGAGATGTTGTGTAACTTCACCAGACAATAGCCAGTAAGTGACGATGTTATACACTTGAATTAACTCCGGGGGCTGGCCAGCCACTGGTCAGCTCGGACATAACAAGACTGCCACGTGTTGTTGTTACAGTGTGTTTGTGTCCAGTGTTATTCTCGTTAGCTGAGTGACTTAACTGACCGCACCGAGTGTTTACTGACCACTAGGATGGATGCATGTAAGTAAAGTCGGCGTCTACAACAGTGGATATGGGCGTTATCTTTGTTGTGCGCCCTACAGGTGTATCTGAGCCCACACGCGCAGGATTAAACACATCCACTCAGTTGAACAGAAGAGCTGCTCTAGTGTCCATGTCATTAAAGCGGCCACGTGCCACTCAAAGGCCAGCGCCTCCCGTCACCTAGACAACAGGTGGTCCAGTTCCTCTGTCCAACCGATACAAACTTGACCATCTTGCAATCAAGCTGATTTCCTACACTCAAACAACTTGATGCTTTTAAAGTCATATGTCTCCTACTAGTTGTCGGCTTGTGAACAATGCCCAACCCTGATTGTGAGAGTGAAGAGGTACTCGGCGGCCATTGTGGTGATGGTTGTGCTATGCGGCGTGGACTTGTGAAGGGCTTGCTACCTGTGTAGGTGTCGTCCAAGTGGCGCTCCCATCTGCCACAGCAGACTCAACCATCATTGTCAACGCTCATATTGCCAACGATAAAAAAATGTCCGTCGGCGTTCTGTTACGTGTTCTACAATGTTAACAGTTAGTTATTTATCACTTCCGCACAAGCCGATAACGTCACAAGACAAAACACTTATTACTACCAGCAGTTCAGATATCTTACTATGAGTGGGGAGGGATCATTTCCGACTTTTAACGGGTTGGAAATCTACATAAAACATTCCAAAACCTGGAGACAGTCACGTTGGTGTATGACACACCGCCATACGAGTCGACAATAGATGCAGCTGTATATATGTCGATGTATACTTTAAACTATATGGTTATGACGAACACGCTTATTTGTCCCGCCACTTTATGTATATTGTCGCCGAAATACGGTTATAACGAATTGAATTAATGGTCCCTTTTAGTTCGCTATAACCGTAGTTTACTGTAATGTCGGCTAGGGAAAGTCGGCAATAGATTCACCGGTTTATTTGTCGACATAGGTGCAGCTGGATAGATGTCGATGTAGGATTACTCAGCCAGGGAGGGTCGGCAAAAGGTGCAGCTGGATATATGCCCGTGTATGATTACTCAGCCAGGGAGGGTTGGTAAAAAGTGCAGCTGGACATATGCCGATGTATAATTACTCAGCCAGGGAAAATCTGCAATAGGTGCAGCTGGATATATGTCGATGTAGGATTACTCAGCCGGGGAAGGTCGGAATAAGCGCAGCTGGATATATGTCGATGTATGATTACTCAGCCAGGGAGGGTTGGTAAAATGTGCAGCTGGATATATGTCGATGTATAATTACTCAGCCAGGGAAAATCTGCAATAGGTGCAGCTGGATATATGTCGATGTATGATTACTCAACTAGGGAGGCTCGGCAATAACTGCAGCTGGATATAAGTCGATGTATGATTACTCAGCCAGGGAGGCTCGTCAATAACTGCAGCTGGATTTATGTCAATGTAAGATACACAGCCAGACAATTCTGAAACAGGCGCACAATATTCATTTCATATTAAAGAAATAAAGTATTACACTTAGAGTTTAGGTATGTAAGAGGCTTTCATTTTTATGGTGCATATTTACAGTTCAATAAAGGGATAATGCACACACCTTAATATGTGCTGTACAAGGGAAAAAACAGATTAGTTCACAAAAGAGTACTGTGGTAAATATTTCATTTTTATAGTACTATATATCAATACCGGTCCAGATATCATACGTCGATTATACCTACAGTCAAGGGTATGTCATGAGATCATTTGCGGTATAAAAACACTGTTGCCAACTCTGAAGTAAAATGCCGTAAACCAAAATCAGACACATGAGAGTTTAACCAATAATATTGGGGACAAGTTGGTAATCTACCTGAGACAGAGCAGGTATAAGTCTTTCTAAAAATTTGCTGTAATAATTAAAGTTTCATAAAGGATAGAGTTTTGATAATTGCCCTGGTTTGAACATACAGAGTTTGTATCCGGGACAAATATATCTGCACAGCTTGCCTTAAAATCTGTAGTGTAGAGATATCTCTAAAGTTAGTGTCATTAGATTCTGATGCTTTATAGACTGAACATACATTGTTAGGAGCAAGTTTTTAATATTTCATAAAACGCAAACAAGTGTACTTGTTTGTGTGTAAACTTGTTTGCATGTTTATCCAACATGATCGAAATTTGACAGTATCAAAAGTTTGTACATAGTTTCTAATTTCTACAACTAATTATAATTTACTGATACATGCCTACTCCTAGAGCAATTGCCCTTTAATTCATGAATGTTTCTGGGATTTAACTACCTCAGTTATAATATCATACTTATTAGTGTAATATATAAACAGGAAGGTCGGCAATAGATGCACATTTATCGATGTGTAATATAAAACAGGAAAGTCGGCAATAGATGCACATTTATCGTTGTGTAATATATAAAGAGGAAAGTCGGAAATAGATGCACATTTATCGATGTGTAATATAAAAATAAGAAAGTCGGCAATATATGCACATTTATCGATGTGTAATATATAAAAGGAAAGTCGGCAATAGATGCACATTTATCGATGTGTAATATATAAAGAGGAAAGTCGGCAATAGATGCACATGTATCGATGTGTAATATATAAACAGGAAAGTCGGCCTTAGATGCACATTTATCGATCGTAATATATAAAGAGGAAAGTCGACAATAGATGCACATTTCTCGATGTGTAATATATAAACAGGAAAGTCGGCAATAGATGCACATGTATCGATGTGTAATATATAAACAGGAAAGTCGGAAATAGATGCACATTTATCGATGTGTAATATATAAACAGGAAAGTCGGAAATAGATGCACATTTATCGATGTGTAATATATAACAGGAAAGTCGGCAATAGATGCACATTTATCGTTGTGTAATATAAAAAAGGAAAGTCGGCAATAGATGCACATTTATCGTTGTGTAATATATATACAGGAAAGTCGGCAATAGATGCACATTTATCGATGTGCAATATATAAACAGGAAAGTCGGAAATAGATAAACATTTATCAATGTGTAATATATAAACAGGAAAGTTGACAATAGATGCACATTTATCGATGTGTAATATATAAAGAGGAAAGTCTGCAATAGATGCACATTTATCGATGTGTAATATATAAACAGGAAAGTCGGCAATAGATGCACATTTATCGATGTGTAATATATAAAGAGGAAAGTCGGCAATAGATGCACATTTATCGATGTGTAATATCTAAACAGGAAAGTCGGCAATGGATGCACATTTAACGTTGTGTAATATATAAACAGGAAAGTCGGCAATAGATGAACATTTATCAATGTGTAATATATAAAGAGGAAAGTCGGCAATAGATGCACATTTATCGATGTGTAATATATAAAGAGGAAAGTCGGCAATAGATGCACATTTATCGATGTGTAATATATAAAGAGGAAAGTCGGCAATAGATGCACATTTATCGATGTAATATATAAAGAGGAAAGTCGGCAATAGATGCACATTTATCGATGTGTAATATATATACAGGAAAGTCGGCCTTAGATGCACATTTATCGATCGTAATATATAAAGAGGAAAGTCGACAATAGATGCACATTTCTCGATGTGTAATATATAAACAGGAAAGTCGGCAATAGATGCACATTTATCGATGTGTAATATATAAACAGGAAAGTCGGCAATAGATGCACATTTATCGATGTGTAATATATAAACAGGAAAGTCGGAAATAGATGCACATTTATCGATGTGTAATATATAACAGGAAAGTCGGCAATAGATGCACATTTATCGTTGTGTAATATAAAAACAGGAAAGTCGGCAATAGATGCACATTTATCGTTGCGTAATATATATACAGGAAAGTCGGCAATAGATGCACATTTATATAAATGTGCAATATATAAACAGGAAAGTCGGCAATAGATGCACATTTATCAATGTGCAATATATAAACAGGAAAGTTGACAATAGATGAACATTTATCAATGTGTAATATATAAACAGGAAAGTCGGAAATAGATGCACATTTATCGATGTGTAATATATAAACAGGAAAGTCGGCAATAGATGCACATTTATCGATGTGTAATATATAAACAGGAAAGTCGGCAATAGATGCACATTTATCGATGTGTAATATATAAACAGGAAAGTCGGCAATAGATGCACATTTATCGTTGTGTAATATATAAACAGGAAAGTCGGCAATAGATGCACATTTATCAATGTGTAATATATAAACAGGAAAGTCGGCAATAGATGCACATTTATCGATGTGTAATATATAAACAGGAAAGTCGGCAATAGATGCACATTTATCGATGTGTAATATATAAACAGGAAAGTCGGCAATAGATGCACATTTATCGATGTGTAATATATAAACAGGAAAGTCGGCAATAGATGCACATTTATCGATGTGTAATATATAAACAGGAAAGTCGGCAATAGATGCACATTTATCGATGTGTAATATATAACAGGAAAGTCGGCAATAGATGCACATTTATCGATGTGTAATATAAAAAGGAAAGTCGGAAATAGATGCACATTTATCGTTGTGTAATATATATACAGGAAAGTCGGCAATAGATGCACATTTATCGATGTGTAATATATAAAGAGGAAAGTCGGCAATAGATGCACATTTATCGATGATGTAATATATAAACAGGAAAGTCGACAATAGATGCACATTTATCGATGTGTAATATATAAAGAGGAAAGTCGGAAATAGATGCACATTTATCGATGTGTAATATATGACAGGAAAGTCGGAAATAGATGCACATTTATCGATGTGTAATATATAAACAGGAAAGTCGGAAATAGATGCACATTTATCGATGTGTAATATATAAAGAGGAAAGTCTGCAATAGATGCACATTTATCGATGTGTAATATATAAAGAGGAAAGTCGGCAATAGATGCACATTTATCGATGTGTAATATATAAACAGGAAAGTCGGCAATAGGTGCACATTTATCGATGTGTAATATATAAACAGGAAAGTCGGCAATAGATGAACATTTATCAATGTGTAATATATAAAGAGGAAAGTCGGCAATAGATGCACATTTATCGATGTGTAATATATAAAGAGGAAAGTCGGCAATAGATGCACATTTATCGATGTGTAATATATAAACAGGAAAGTCGGCAATAGATGCACATTTATCGATGTGTAATATATAAAGAGGAAAGTCGGCAATAGATGCACATTTATCGATGTGTAATATATAAAGAGGAAAGTCGGCAATAGATGCACATGTATCGATGCGTAATATATAAACAGGAAAGTCGTCAATATATGCACATTTATCGATGTGTGATATAGAAACATGATTGTCTGCAATGGGAGCACATGCATCAATATCTGATCTACTGCCATGGAAGTCGGTAACAGGTTTACATATATCGAAGATCGAAGCTTAAATATCTTTGAAAAGTGTAATTGTAATAAACTTTTACACACAAGAAATATATCATTTACTGGGCGATCAGAAAACAAATATTGTGCTTTAAGTACCAGAACGTTGTCTCATTTAAGATGAAAAATTGTATGACATTAGGCACTGACTAAATGCATGTTGGGGTTCAAACAAAATCCTAGACCACACTGCCAACATAAGGAAGGGCCGGCTGTGTCAGCGTGTTTAAACGGCAGTACACTGTTGTTCCTTATAAAGATCATTTTTATTGATGTTTGTCTAATTCACACTAGGATTTCAATTCTTATTCAAAATGATAGAAAACAAAGATGATTGGATTTAGATGGCATTTCAACAAACAGGTGAGCATGTAAGCAAGATTTAACATAATCGAATGCGGGTATCACAAAAATATTTGTCAATCGAATGTTTTGTAACTCCGTTTGTAAACGAGAAAATTCCTGGATTTAACTCATAATTTCAGGTAGAACATAGGATTAACGGACTCAACAATCAATTAATTCTATAGTATAGCCTTTGGGGTTTGCCCCAAATGTGTTTGGAGATCTTTTTTAAACATTGAATGTTGACTAAATCAGTTATATTACACGAGCAACATGAACCTTTAGTTTGACCTTTTCAATGGTCAGATGCATTGGAAACCCTTCATAACAAACTTTCGTTCATGGAGTAAGTAACGAAAATTATTTGATATGCTTTTATTGTACATCCTCAAGTCAATTTACATGCTTATAGTTTATAAGGAAACAAGTCCTGTGCCCTTACCTCCAGAACATGCCCAATAGTTTGAGAATCCATGGTGTGCAGTCCTAAAAGAGTGTCCGTGGGGTAGGGACCTGCGTTGGTGTGGGTGGGGATATCTGTCCCAGCAAACACGGTAATATTGCCCCTGATGGAGCTGGGGTATACAGGAACGGCACCGCTCTCTAAGACTTCTTCTAACGACATTGCTGCTGCCAGTTTCCAACTGATGTGTACAGCAGAGCCTGTTCCGTTTTAAGTCGCTGGTATACGCAGGCTGCACATGCATGTATGTGAAAAGTTTTGCGTCCTACAGCTGGGAATCTTCTCATGAATTCTTTTAATAACATTAACTTTTGTCGGGCTCAACGGATACTCGGGACTCGCGCGCGACCGACTCGTGCGCGCATGCGCTGACTGGCAAAGAGCCCGCCCCTCCAACCAATAGCGTAGAGTGGGCGGTGTGATTAATTAATCATAGTGATCGTTCACCTCAACAATATGATCAACATGAGGCGGCTACCTAGCCAAAAATCTCTTTCGACTTCTCGCTTCGCTGACGATGTAAAGTGATTAATTTTCATAGATTTTTATCTCCTTTATGTGTCTTGCTTCACAAATATTGCACAAATTATTGGAAATGTTTAAAAGTCAGAAAGCAAACAGGCATTTGCTAGTCTAGAATAAATTACCACATAATGTGAGAATAAGAACACTTGTTACCAGCCAGAACACATCGCTAAGCTTGAACAGGTTTAATGGTGATCAGCCGGGATTTCCCCCGCCAGGTATGGGACTAAATATCTCATTTACAGGTATATAGTACAGTGTATAATGGTGCACAGTATGTACAGGCTGTTGTGATTCCTCCACTTACACACTTGTAGTTAAAAGACCAATACTAATTTATACTAGGAAGCAATCACCCAAGAGAAAGTGGCACAGATAAAACGCAGTAAATGCGTGATAAGGATTTCTGAAACGTTTCTATTTATTTCGCCTATAATGAAGTTGGCTTCTAGTACCGTTCCCCAACTTTGTGGTTAGTTTCTAGTGCCGTTCTTCTACATCGTAGTAAGTTTCTAGTACCGTTGACCAACATTGTAGTTAGTTTCTAGTAACGTTCTCCTACATTGTAGTTAGTTTTTAGTCCGTTCTCCTACATTGTAGTTAGTTTCTAGTACCGTTGACCAACATTGTAGTTAGTTTCTAGTACCGTTCTCCTACATTGTAGTTAGTTTCTAGTACCGTTCTCCTACATTGCAGTTAGGTTCTAGTGCCGTTCTCCTACATTGTAGTTAGTTTCTAGTGCCGTTCTCCAACATTGTAGTTAGTTTCTAGTGCCGTTCTCCTACATTGTAGTTAGGTTCTAGTACCGTTCTCCTACATTGTAGGTAGGTTCTAGTACCGTTCTCCTACATTGTAGTTAGTTTCTAGTACCGTTCTCCTACATTGTAGTTAGGTTCTAGTACCGTTCTCCTACATTGTAGTTAGGTTCTAGACAGACTGTATCTGTCAGCACCATGTATTACTGGGATGAATCGAAACAATATCAGCCTGTCATACTTGAAGTTACAAATATAGTCTTGAATCAAACAAACAAATATGAAACTGGACAAACCTCACCAAGTGGTGTTCTTTACAACAAAATGTATATCTGGCGCTATATCCTTTTTATAAATAATCTTAGTTTTTTTACTCCAGAGACAGGAAAGTTTTTCGTTAATTGTACTCCAAAATTCATGCAAATTGCATTCCCATTCCAACCCGTTTCATTACACTGAATGAACAAAGGTTTTGTATTGATAAACCTAAAGCTGGTAGCACTTTAGACAGTAACATCGGCCGTTCCTGTTGCCCGGCATGAGTTCAGTATTAGTAGACACGGTCACTGTACGTCTACAAATCAAATGACCTATAACCAACATATTTTACATCAGTTAGCATTTGTGAAATATGTCGAATTATCATCTTTAAAGCACGAAGAAAATCATTCTACACGATCATTAATGGTTTTGTTGTGTTTGTGTGGACTTTGTTTATGTATTTAAAAGGATTTCTTTTGTCTGTAGGCGGAACGCGTGTTTAAAATATACGTTTACACACGACACTACTGTGTGCTTGTACGGGACACTGCGTTGTGTGGATGTACTGAGCACATATGCTTCATCATATAAGGAACATGTATGCTATGTACATATGTTATGTAAGGAACACTTATGCTCTATGCACATGTTACATACGAAACACCCATGCTCCTTGCATTTGTTATGTAAGGAACACTTATGCTCTATATAAATGTTACATACGAAACACTTATGCTGTATGCACATGTTACAGACGAAATACCCATGCTCCGTGCATTTGTTATGTAAGGAACACTTATGCTCTATAGAAATGTTACATATGAAACACTTATGCTGTATGCACATGTTACAGACGAAATACCCATGCTCCGTGCATTTGTTATGTAAGGAACACTTATGCTCTATAGAAATGTTACATATGATACACTTATGCTCTATGCACATGTTACATATGAAACACTTATGCTCTGTGCATTTGTTATGTAAGGAACACTTATGCTCTATAGAAATGTTACATATGAAACACTTATGCTGTATGCGCATGTTACATATGAAACACCCATGCTCCGTGCATTTGTTATGTAAGGAACACTTATGCTCTATAGAAATGTTACATATGAAACACTTATGCTGTATGCACATGTTACATATGAAACACCCATGCTCCGTGCATTTGTTATGTAAGGCACACTTATGCTCTATAGAAATGTTACATATGAAACACTTATGCTCTATGCACATGTTACATACGAAACACCCATGCTCCGTGCATTTGTTATGGAAGGAACACTTATGCTCTATAGAAATGTTACATATGATATACTTATGCTCTATGCACATGTTACATATGAAACACCCATGCTCCTTGCATTTTTATGTAAGGAACACTTATGCTCCATATAAATGTTACATATGAAACACTTATGCTCTGTGCATTTGTTATGTAAGGAACACTTTAGGCTATATATAAATGTTACATATGATACACTTATGCTCTGTGCATTTGTTATGTAAGGAACACTTATGCTCTATAGAAATGTTACATATGATACACTTATGCTCTATGCACATGTTACATACGAAATACCCATGCTCCGTGCATTTGTTAAGTAAGAAACACTTATGCTCTATGCACATGTTACATATGATACACTTATGCTCTATGCACATGTTACATACGAAACTTCCATGCTCCTTGCATTTGTTATGTAAGGAACACTTATGCTCTATATAAATGTTACATATGAAACACTTATGCTCTGTGCATTTGTTATGTAAGGAACCCTTATGCACTATATAAATGTTACATATGAAACACTTATGCTCTGTGCATTTGTTATGTAAGGAACCCTTATGCTCTATATAAATGTTACATATGAAACACCCATGCTCCGTGCATTTGTTATGCTCTATATAAATGTTACATATGAAACACTTATGCTCCGTGCATTTGTTATGTAAGGAACACTTATGCTCTATATAAATGTTACATATGAAACACTTATGCTCCGTGCATTTGTTATGGAAGGAACACTTATGCTCTATATAAATGTTACATATGAAACACTTATGCTCTGTGCATTTGTTATGTAAGGAACACTTATGCTCATATATAAATGTCCCGTACATTGTTATATGAAACACTTATGCTCCGTGCATTTGTTATGGAAGGAACACTTATGCTCTATATAAATGTTACATATGAAACACTTATGCTCTGTGCATTTGTTATGTAAGGAACACTTATGCTCTATGCACATGTTACATATGAAACACTTATGCTCTGTGCATATTTTGTAAAAGAGAGACACTGCTAAGTGCACGTACGAAGTGCGTGCCTCTTTGCGTGCGCGCTTACAAGTTAGCGCGTGTATGTGTTTCATCGGAAATACTTTGTTTGAACATACAAGCAATGAACATTTTTCCCACTTGGCAAGCGTCCGCGAATTTGTGGATAAATGTAAGAGCAATTCACAGAAACAAACATTAATGTCAGACTTTTTCCAGAAGTGAGTTCGTCTTTTTGTTTCAACAAGACTCAAGATAGTGCAATGTATATCTGTCGATTGCCGATAGATTTTGTTCATGGATTTTAAGAGGGAAATGAATTTTGTATTTCATTATGCTAGTATTGAAATGTGTTCATATTTATATACTATTTGTTTTCATTATCTATGTCACCTAATGTATTGGTGTGCTATATTTTGACGTGTGCTGAATAAAGGAATTGTTCAATATTCGATCATCTTTTTTTTCTACCCTCATAGACATACCTATGTCTCGAATACATCGATAAGTCGAATTTATTACTTGGTCCCCAGCGATTCGACTCATTGGGATTTGACTGTACATGTATTTTATACAATGTTGAAAGGGACTGGGCACAAGTTATGTACAGCCCGCTCCCTTCAGAAACATGAACAATAATGAATGGACGTAATGAATGGACGTCATGATATTAAGACATATTATTCATTAATCGAACCGCCATATAGTTGGAATATTGCTGAGTGCGGCGTAAAACTAAACCAAAAGGACTTCATTAATCGAAGCGCTTACTTCGTACAATGTATTAATGCACATGGCTACAGATATTTTCATTAATAGTATTTGGCAGAGCAGGGTTGCTGTAAAGAATGGTATCAATGTCTAGGTGAACTTTTGATAGTTCAAAGTCTTGCTTCAGATCAAAACGGCAGCTGACAAATATTGGACATTTTAAAAGGAAATGGTTAGCATCTTCCACCGGAGCACCACAATTGCAATCTTTACTCTCTGATAAATTAACACGAAACAGATCTGCATGCAATGAACAACACGGACGTCTTAATTTCGTGTGTAGTATATTTGTCTTTCTTTCACCAAATAGAAAATATTTTTGAACTTTGTCATTTTTTCAGATAACTTTGATTTAAACGATAATAATGAATTTGTACATTTTGTTGTAGAGGAGAGAGCATTCCATAAACTTGCAGAATTATAAATAAATTGCTTTTGGAGAATTGAGGTGCGAAATTTAGGAACAGCCAAATCTGATTTGTTACGCAAGTTGTATCCGGAAATGATTTCAGTAAAAGGTGAAAGTAAATCAATCGATGTATTCGACTTATCGATGTATT